TTTAAAGATCTTCCTCCTCAGTTGATGGAACTTATAGTTGCTGATGCTAAAAATATGTCTAGCTTGTTAGTTTCTGATTTGTAATTTCTTTCTGTTTCTGGGACTTAACCCCTCTTTATTTACAAAAAATAAAAATAAAATAAAAAATTAACGCATGAAATTCAACGAAACACAATAAAAGAAATAACTTCTCCTGCAAACAGGAGATATATATATATATATATATATATATATATATATATATATATATATATATATATGACACTATAGATATAAATATATTGAAGAAAAAATAATATGATATACATGAAGATACTAAACGAAATTGAAAAAAGAAAATATTAACCCAGGGTTGAGTTGATCTCCATGCCTACCTACATAAGTGATGAACTGTGTTGCGTTGATTGATTAAAAGGTTTTGGATTTGCACCATAAATGCAAAGTTTTCTACATGTATATCGATGTTTGTGTTACATTTTTTTTCTTTTTCTTTTTTAATTTTAAATGTAGTGGATCTCACACTTATTGTCTTTATTTTTTTTTTGATAATCCACTTATTGTCTTTATAACATGACAAGAGAATTGTCCTACAACATAATACTTGTTTTTCCCTTCATTAAAATATATAACCAGTTCTATCCCATCTCATTTTTGCCTATTGATGGTTTGATTTGTCTGATTCAATTTAAGGGGTGTATTGAATTGAAATTTCAAAGAATTTTAATGGATTAAAATCCATTGGTATTCGATTAAGATTTTAAAGGATTGAAAAAAAGTCATGTGGTATTTGATTAGGATTTTAAAAGATTATTTTAGAGTCCGTCCAAATCTATTGGTATTCAATCAGGATTTTAAACAGGAAAAATAATCATGTGGTATTCAAAAATCTTACGATTTTAATGGATTTTCTATTGGTGTGTATTTCGTACGACTTTTTAGTGAGAAATATAAATAGGATGTCTTTTTCACAATCTCACCCTAACCCGTAGGATTTTTTGAGATTTTTTTATTGCAGTGTCTTCTTCTTTCTTTGGTGGTTGACTCGCTCGAAACCCAGTTTCACCATGGAAGCTTCGTCAAAGCTCAAAAACAACATATTTTTCGATTTTTAACACAAAACAACAACCCAACAAGATTTTAATTTAATTCATCTCAAAATAACAGATTTTGAAGCAATTTTTGGGAATTTTTGAAAGTTTAAAAATGATTTTTCAAGCTATTGGTCATTATTTTTTCTCTGTAAGAAAATGTGTGATTTTTGTATTAAAAACAACATAAAATAATGAGAAAACAATAAGGGAACAAAAACCCTCAAATCAATTTTCATTTTACATAAATGAAACAATATCTATTTAAAGAAAGATCGAAACTTTCATAATATGAACCTTATATTTCATAATAATATATTTATGAACGAAATTCCTTCGTCGTATAGAAAATGATTTCAAACAATTTTTGTGTCAATAGATAACTAAAAATTTGTTTTTCAAAACTCCCAAAGCAATTTAAGATTTCATTGTATCGATTGAAATTAATTTGAGAAATTTTCTAAACTTTCAAAACCCTAAACTTTCATGTAATAAAACCCAAAAATTCAAATTCGAAATTTTCTTGGAATACTCAATGAAAACATGCATATGATATATTGTTCGAAAACTCTAATCACGTAGAACAAAAATCTCAAGGTTTACAAGATCAATTGCAAAAAATTTCAAACAAAAATTTATAATGGATTTTACTAATTGAGAAAATTATATTGCTTTTTACTTTTTTTTATCAATATTACTGCATTTCTTTGTTAACTTTTTTATTGACTTTTGTAATTTTGAATGTTTGTTAAAAATTCATATGATTTTTTAAAATCTTAAAAATCCATATTGTCCTTTCAAATCTTATAAATTCTATTAAAATCCAATCTTACGAAATATTGATTGTAAAAAAAATATTTTAAAAAAATATTTAAAGTCTCTTTAATTCTGAATAGTCTTTTAAAATCTATAAGATTTTTTATCTCAACAAAATATTTTAAAATTCTAATCCAATACACCCCCTTACTTTGTCAACTCTAAATAAAATAGAATTGTTTGTTGTTTTAGTAAAATTATTAACTGATAAAACCTTGCTTAATGGATCAAAAAATTATCTTTACCGAAATTAATTGCTTATCATAAGTTTGTTTCCAAAAACTTTCTGCTTTTACGAAATAAAAAATATTTTAAGTATTATGGGAGCACTAAAGGCTTAATGTGTCCTTTACTAAATATAAAAAATTAATATATTTAAATTTTCTATTTTATCCATCTTTTTATAGTTATTCTCCTTTAACTCTCTACCTTTTTTTTATTTTTAATAAAGTATATATTCCAGTCACACGCAAGTCAAGAGTCAAGCCTGAGTGGAGAAAATTTAATACTTATGCAACAAGGAGTCCTCTTTGATTTGTGGAAAAAAAGCATAATCATTAACTAAACTAAGAAAGCTCGGGTAAATGAATCAAAAGTAAAGGGGCTAAAATTTTAAAAATAAAAAGGTTATAAAACTAAATTAAAGATCAAAGGATCATCTTTATAAAAAATAATTACTTATTATAAATTGTTCTAAAATATTTTTTGCGTATTAGAAATTTATATTTTTGAAAAATGATTATCTACACCGAAATTAAATGCTTACAATAAGTTGTTTTTTAAAATACTTCATGTACATTTAAATATTAAAGAAATTAGATAATATTTGGAGGGAATTTATAAGAAATTATTACCCTGAAAAATCTAAACTTGTGCAGCAAGGAGACGTCATTGATTTGTGGGAAAAAAGCAAGATGATGGAAGTGGGGCCAATAAATATTCTTTATCTCATTGGAGTTTGTAAATTTCCTCTTGCTTTCATTCCCAACATCATATGAATTATTGCTTTACCCTAGGTATCTATATGTACGGACTAGTACCTACACGCAACCTGCACCAAAGATAACATTTACATTCCTAAATCCTAACATAACAAAATCAAAAGCAAATCTTACTTTTATTAGTATTTATTTACATTATTTTTGGGAGAAATTTAGGGTTATGTAGTTGCTTTCAAATTTGACTAATGTGATCTTCCAATTTAAATTACAAAATTCTGATAAAAATCAATATACATGTTACTGAGTCATATTCTCTATTTACTTCTTTTATTTCTTAAGCCATGCGTGAGACCATATATTAAAACAGTAAAAATAATTACTAATTGAATAGTAGAGGTCACCATCTGGTGTGGTAAGCTTTAAGGATATTTGCATTTAAGTAAAGTTTTGAAGCGAAAAAAAATAAATTAAAAATAAGGATTTGATGTTTACACACATAAAAGTGTGTGGTCATATGAATCCATGTGGAAAGAATAGATAAAAAAAATAGATCTCATATATTTTAATGTGTGTATAGAAGATAATTTTATCTCATATTAGTCTCCTACAATGTGTGGAGCCCATGAAAAGAGAGATATAAGGTAATTTTATCTCATATAAGAGACATTAAACCCTACAAATAATCAGAACACTTACTAAATCATACTCTTTAATTTTTTATTTTTCAACTCTGCGTGTTCTTTAGGTGGAGCAAGAGACCATAATGCCATATAATTAGGAATAATGTTTCATGAGATAAAATTTATTTTTTATATACATATAAAAATATGTGAGTATTTTTTGTATGGTAGGAAATGAATTTTATCCCATATACATGAATAAAAATATATGAAGTTCATATTTTCTTTTCTTTTCTTCTCATATGATTCATATGAGTTACACTTTTATGTATATATAAGAAATAAAATTATTTCTTATAAAAAAATTAATCTCATAATTAAAACAGTGAAAATGATTACTAATTGCATATTCCGTTTTTTTTTTTTTTTTTTTGAGAAACGCATTCCTTTATTATTAATTAAGCATATATGAACCGAGAACATTAATAGAGTGCACTACTATCTAGTATGGTTAGCTTTACTAAACTCCGTATTAGCGTGTTCGTGAATTGATCCAAATTAATTCAAAATATAGTGATCGAATCGAAGCGAATTAATCGAAAATTAAAAAATTGAAAATGGAAAAAAAAATTGCAAAATTTAATTGGATTAAATTGATTATTAGTTTGGTTGGTAAAAACTGATTTAATAATTCTCCAACCCTACCCCTCCCTATTTGAGTCTTTTTCCAATCATAGCCTAAAAATCATATAGTAAAATTTTAAACCCAAGATTCATTAATCAATCATATTAGAGAAAATGAGTTATACTTGATTTATGTTATGCTTTTTTTTAGTAAGATATATCATATATTTTTATTGCATAAGTTTTTGTTGTAAGGTAGCTTCACTATAGGATGAAAATTTGGGTTACTATGTGTCTAAACAATCACATTGTAAATATTTTGTTGGAGATAAAAGATGATAATTCAAATTTGTTGTTGTAGATAAAAGATGGTAATTTAATTTTTTGTTGTACTAGATTAAAAATTAGATTATTACTTATTGATACTTTTAGATGGCACAATAATCATCGTACAGATTTTACAAAGTCAATACATACAAAAATATATATTATTTGCAGAAGGCAAAAATGTTTGTCATTTTAAATGACAGAAAGTTATGTCATTTTAAGAGAGATACAGACACAAAAAATTTGAATTTTAAATTAAAAAAAGTCACCAACTTTCTCTCTCCCATGATTTCTGTTTTTCTGTGTCTATCTCTCTCCTAAAACGACATAACTTATATCATTTAAAATGACAAACACCAAACCCTTTCCAGAATAATCACATAAACTTTAGGTTTCTAAATAAATTGAAAAATCGATCCAATTTAAATTGAATAAAATTAAATTGAATTAAAAAAAAATTCAAAACAAATAAATAATTATATTATCAAATTAAAAGAAATTTTTCACCCAAACAAACCAATAGTACTTGTCCACCCAAAAGAATAAAGTGATGCCAACACCATAATCACACGGAAAAAAATATTGAAAACTTCCTTATATTATTTTGGAACTGTGGCAGTGGCAGTGGCAGTGTTGACTTGGAATTGACAACCCTATTTTATATCTCTGTGTGGGTTGTGACTGCTATAACCTTCAATCTTCAATCTTGGGTTAGTCTCTGTTTCTTTAAGTTTGCCAGATCTTTTCATGGTTGGTGATCATTATATGATGAGTGATTACTTGTTCAGTTGTTCATGCTCATACATACCCATAAAAATTTTCTCTTTTCTCTGATATCTGAAAATTTTCATTTATGGTTTTGTTGTTTCTACTGTTTGATGACTGAAGTTTGATGCAATGTAGGATGAAAATGCCATAAGTGGTTCTGTATGGAAGAATATTGTTCAGTCACTGTCTTTCTTTAAAAATTTGATAATATGTTCATTTTTTGTTTTCTTTGTTTCTGGAATTCGAGTATATATATTATCATATTGTCTTTCTTTGACAGCTAAAAGCTTCAAACTTTTAATATTAAAAAAAAAAAAAGCTTCAAACTTTACATCGTATGTTGGTAACAGGTTTTTTTCCCCTTCTTTTTTCCTCTTTTTTTTTGTTGCTCCCAAATTAGCTTTGAATTGTTGAACTTCAGCAAAAGGAACCCTTCTAGGTGAAGGAATATTTATTTGTCTTTATTTCAAACATGAGTAACCCATTTGGATGGAATGGCTATTTTATTGTAAGCCTTTGAGTGTTAAATTGATTTTCCTTGGATAGCTCTAATGAACTACACGTGTTTTTCTTTTTCTGTAGATTCTTTGATTAGGATATCTTTTTCTTGGCCTTGTGTTTCTTTTCTGAATTTTATCAGAAGTTATTTTTGGAAGGTGTTAAAATTGTTGACTCTGATGGTTCAGTTTCTTTCATATGAGGGTAAAAATGGGATGAAAAATTATTAGAATAATTTTATTTGTAAAATTGTATTGAAAAATGATCAGTTTTACTTTCTATTGTGTGCAAAAAACTTTAACTAATTTTCAGTCTGCTTCGATTTCCAAAATGCTGAAAGCATTGGATTCTCTGAAGTTTCATTGTCCCTATATAGCTTGTGAAAATAATTTGATTAATTTTTTAACCTTTTTTTTTTCCAACATTATAAAAACATTTTTTTATTGATGTTTGAAATCACATCTTGAAGTACAACTAAGGCTCTAATACTCTTATTTGGAGAAATGAGGTAACATAGTTTACTAGATATCAAGAAGACGTGTAATGCTAAGGTTGTACAGTTTTGTGTATACCATCATTTTAATTATGATTCTGTTATTTAAGTATTTATATTTGTTCTAGAGCTAAATTGCATATCTGTCTTTTTGTGTAGTTTCCAGTGCTTTATATTCTATGAATTTTACTCCTTCACACTTATCGACATCAACTGCAGGTCAAGGGAAGTTGCTGAAATTGTAATCCAGGGATTAGGAAGGTCCTCAGGTAGGTGGAAGTTGCCATTACATTTTTATCAATGAGACATCTGTATCATGAAGCTGAGTGTTTGCCGTAATACACAATCAATGGCTCATTTGTTACATTCAAAGTTATTTAGTCAATGCAGTCTAAAGCTTGAACTTGTTCTTGTGATGATTTAGTGTTTCCAGAAATTGATTATTTTTGTGAGGAAGAAGGAATATTTTCTATTGACAATTGTTTCTGACATTGTTAAGTGTGAAATACATTTTCTTGAAAGTTATATACTGTGAAACAAATAGACTTCTAAAATTATTTATTGTAACAACAGACTACAATTTTGAAGGGAATCAGTGTTTTATCCCTGCTGCCTCCACCCTACTTACATAATTGGAGGTTGAACTTCCATATGTAGTATGGAGTTGCAAAGAGTTGATTTTTTTAATTTGTGATTGAACGTAATCAAGGCTTTACAAAAGAATAAAATAGCTTAAAAAATCAGTTAAGAACTGTTTCACATTCATCAAATGAGCTTATTGCTATCAACTCTAAGTTCCACGAAGACACTTTCTGAGTTTTTTTTTGTCATGATCTTGGGTCCATTGACACTTGCACTTGTTGTAAGAATAATGTTGGATAGTGAGGTCACATGTTCCAAAACTTGCTAACATGTGTCTGCAGTTGCACTTAGTAAAAGACAGATTGAATTCTGCAAACTATAACATTATGTTGTAAAATGTAATGCTTATGCAGATGATTGATTAATCGAAAAGTTCAAATACTTCTATGAAAGTTAGTTATAATATACAATATAACCATCTATCTATGTAGATTCCATTTTGTTTCTAAAGATGTTGCCACCCTTTTTTAGATGTAAAACTCTCCCATGGTTTCTACACCTCCCCACAGCTTCATCCTTCTCAATTTCCTCTTTCTTTTCCATGATCTCCGACTTCTTCAACACAAAAGTACTTTGTATCTCTATTTCTAGCTTTGAAGATTCTGGTTCTGCTTTCTCATCCCAAACCCATACCGGTTGATCTAGATCATACGCAGGTTAGAATTGTTTGACCATGACTTTAAGAAAGCTCCTCCAAGTTGCATTTAGATTGAGCCAACCCTAGCACTAATACTAAACCAAAACATGACATCTCAGCTCCTTCACATTCTTAGGGAGCCTCTTTGCGTTGTGTGTTCCTGTTGCAGCTCGATGTTGATCAGCCACCAATAAGTGTCCTCTCCTTCAAACTCTGTAATCATCTTCAATTCAGTACTCATCGAAAGCTCTGATAACAATTGATAGGAAATAGGTATTTTACTACAGAGAAATAGGGATAAACCTCAAATAACAGATGTAACATCCCGAGCGCTGACGAAGGCGGGGAGTGATCGCCGGTGCGAAAGGGCATGGATAAGGAGCGGCTCCTGACAGGCTTTCAGCGGGGGTTACATGAATGAATGAATCGAATTGACACCCGAAAGAGAGGGATTCCAAAGACTGTGCATGTATGAGACTGCACAGTTTGGATAGCTTATAAGAATTGTTAGAAATAATATAATATTAAATAGTATTGTATTATTTATTATTCTGTTATTCTAGCAGGTTATTTGGGCTTGGCCCATTAGGTCATTTAACCTCTTTAAATAGAGGTCTTTTGTACAGTTCTATACACAATTGAATACAATACATTCATACATTCTAATTATAATTAATTGGTACTACCTATACTAATAAGATGCATCTAGTTTTCGGTAGTCCGGAACGGAAGAACTCCATAGTTAAGCGTGCTTGGCTTGGAGCAATTCTGGGATGGGTTACCTCCTGCGAAGTTTTCCCAGGAAGTGTGCGAGTGAGGAAAAAGCACACTGAAAAGTCTCGTGTTAGTATGTGGGGATAGTCATTGATTCTTGAAGCGGTCGGGCGTTACAACAGAGATCTTAGTCACTTACAAAACAAGAATACAAATGATAGAACATTGTTGAACTTCGAGGGTCTGCAAACCTCCTTACTCAAGCACCTAAAATGACCTCATAATTGGATGTTATCTCCCCTACCTTTCCCTCCTTTTTAACTTTGCTTCTAACTATTTCCCTTTTCCTCCCACCCTCCTTGCCACCCGAATTCCTCTTCTGCCCCTTAATCATAATTCCCAGGTGGTCTACCATAGGAATGGCTATCACTTTCATTCAAAAGCTTAATCTTTTGGGATAGTTAGTTATGACATGGTATCATGCCTTTTACAACCATGGTAGGTTAGGTCTGTACATTATTCATGCTTCAAGCCCAAAAGACTTTTGCGTGAGGAGGCATGTTATTGTTAGATATAAAACCATTCATGTGCTTTCATCCAACAACTTAAGCTTTTGAAATAGATGGTTCATGAGATACTTATGTTTAGCTGCTTAGATATATTTACATTTTTAAAAGACATCAAAGATAACTATTGTTCTTGTGGAACCATAGATATGTTTTGTAATGAATTTGCTTGCAAAGTTTTGCTGACTATGGTTTGACTGTATGGACCTTTTGCATATTTAAGTGTATACCCTTGACGTTCAAGGGAAAGAATTCCAATACTTTTAGGGAACTTAGTGAAAGCCTTAAAGTATACAATTTACCCATCTATTTATATTCCAATTTGGTTCTAAAGCTGTTGCATCTCTGCAAATATATGTTGAACTTATTTTTTTGCTGTTCAGAGATGTTTGCATTTTCAAAAGACATCAAGGATAACTGTTGATCTTGTGGCAGCATACATATGTTTTGTAATATGAATGTTCGTGGAAAGTTTTGTTGACTGTGGTTTGACTATATGGAGCCGTTGCATATTTAAATATACATGCTTAACATTCAGGATAAAGGGAATAAATTTGAACCTTTCCATTTTCTTCTTGTGAGTATACTGGGTCCCAACATTATTCATTAGTAAAAACTTTTTCTTTCAATTTCTATGCCTTAGTATATTTAGATTCTTATCTGCAATAAGAACTGAATGTGTAAAATGCATGTTATTTCTCAACCATCTTGTTAAACCTAAGCCTACATTGTGAACTTATAAGTGCTTAAATTATTGCAGACTTGTCATTCGTAAGTATAACAAATTTTATAACAAATCATTGAATATGCTTGTAAATTTAAATTGACGTATTTAGCTTACTTGCAGTACAGTCTTTTTTTTTACTTCTTTTTTCCTCTTTTTCTTTAATTTTTTTTCTTCTTCTCTTCCTATACAGGAAAGCCAAAGAGTTAGCATTTAGAATGGGTAAAACAATTGAGTTGTATGGATTCCCTTCTTTTGTGAATGTATCCGATGTAAAGATATTTGTAGAGCGATATACTGGTGAAGGAACTGTCTATGCTATTAAGATAAGACAAGCCAAAAGTCGGGTTCCAAGAGCATTTGCTATTATTCAATTCACCTCTGCTAAGTATGCTGCATCTATGATGTCTTTAGCTAATAACAATATGCAAACATTGCGGTATGGCTCCTCCTACCTAAAGGCTCGGGAAATGGAAAGAGATATTGTGCCAAAGCCAAGAACCTTTTTGCATAGTTTGGCTGATGTGAAACTGTATTTTGGCTGTCAGATAACGAAGGGAAAGTTCTCTGTTTTATGGAAAAAGGTGGATGTTAATGTAAATTTTGGGATTGGAATGAGAAAGTTGCAATTCTTTTTATCCCATAACAATGTGCAATATAAACTTGAGCTTTCGTACGAGAACATTTGGAAGGTTGAGCTGCATCGACCACGGGGTGAAACTGCAAAGTATCTCTTGTTTCAGGTTTTTAAATTTAACTTTTGTATTAGCATTTTAAAGAATATACTTTGTTTTCTTAGTGAACTTCATAATAAGCATAGTTAAAAAAGTGCTAGTGCCAATTGGAGTTGGCTCACCCAGTCAACAGTGACAAATACACATGACTTGGATTTGAATCTAGAGGTCTCCTATTGGTTGGTTATCTTTAAGTCTCCTGTAAGTGCTTACTAAACCTGGGAGCTGTCTCCTCACCCCTTATTTTCATTTTACCAAAATGAAGAAAAAAAAGTGCTACAGTGGAAGTTGCAGAGATAAGATAACCATTTAAACTATATTGAAACAGGTTAAGGTAGAAGTTCATTGGTTGAAATTGAATCCCTTGTATGCAAAACAATTATGGTGAACCAGAACTAATACCTCAAATCAATAAAATGATAAAATAACACAACAAAAAGCTTGTGGATCTTTGTGTTTTAATCATATAAAAAGATGCAGAGAAGAATTCATAGGTTCTGTAGAAGTTTCTTGTTCAGGAATTTTTAACTGAGGAAAATAATGTGCTAAATCAACGAAGAATTTTGCATGAGAAAATTATCAAATTATAGTTAATAAATCCCTTGCTTTTACGTTTTCATAGAAGTTTTGTTTTTTCTGAATTGCATATGGTTTATAATGCATTATTTGTCTCATTTATATGTCGCATGAACTATAGTTGTTGTTTTTTATGCTTATTTAGTCAGTGTCTAACTTTGTCAGAAGCAAAGATTTCTCCTATTGTTTATTTAGAAGAGTTTTTCCTTGATTCCCATAGCCTTGATTAGTTTTGTCTTTGGGTAACAAAATTGATTTGATTGAACTGCGTTGTTTTTTGGAGTATTCATACAAATACTAAGAAGAACATACTTTTTGGTTTGGATTTCAAGATGAATTCAGATTTCTAACTGAAAAGAGAAGTAATTTTGATGTTCAGAAATTGTTCTGCAATTAAAATCAAAGTTTAGTGAACTTAAGCATTTGTTTAAGGGATATTTATGACTATTCTACGAACTATATATGTTTTGCCCTTCTTTACTTACGCAACGAGACTGTACAACTCTTTAAGAGAGGCCGAGCTAGTAAGATGTAAAGCAATATATTTATTGCTACTACTTTTTGCACTTGCAGTGAAACGACAATTCACATCTTGAAATCCAGCTTCATCCTACAATTGGATATGTAAATTACATTAAGTGTTTTCTTAAATAAAAGTTTGTGTGCTTTACTGTTATCTACCAATCTTTTCCTAATTTTTGTCTTCATGTATTTTTTTTTAAGAAAGTAACATTTATATTGTTTCCCAAATCAAAGTAATTGTAAAGAATCAATTCAACCCAAAAACTTAAGCTATTGGGTGAGGCTACATTAATGGTTTTATACTTGTCTAACACGCCCCGTCACACGAGAGCCCACTAGGCTTGAAGGGTGGACGATGCACAGGCCCAACTATCCGTGCTGAAAAACTTCACAAGAATTGATTAATATTAATTAAATGGGGGGCGGTGAGAATTGAACCGGTGACATGAAGATTTGATACCATGTAAAGAACTAATTCAACCCAAAAGCTTAAGCTATTGGGTGATGCTACATTAATGGTTTTATACTTCTCTAACAGTAATTAAATTATTTTGTATCAAATCTGTAATTATTTTTTCTGAAATTTCATTTTGTACTTTGATGACCTTATCCTGATGCTAAAAGCCTATGGTCTAATTATTTGTTGCCGTTCATGTTCTGCAAGTTTTCCAATTGAAGTCATTTCTTATCAATTCTTCCACAACAGTGTGTTAGATTTTTGGTTTTGTACTGAATGAGTTATCAGTTGTTGGAGATAAACATATTTTTGCAATTTAATATTTACTGCAATACTTATTACTAAAGTGAACATTTTCATCTTCAATTATGGACTTATCTGTTCTTGTGATTGTCTCTGCACTGTAATTACATATTACTGTGATTGCTTCACTGTGACATATGGTAAATCTTATTCGTTTCTCTTCAATTTCTAGTTACTTGGTGCTCCCCGCATTTTGAAGAATGATGTACCCAATTCAGCAAATGTATATGAAAATCCTTTGCTCAACTTCTTTAAGGATACCCCTGATGAGCAATGGATCCGAGCAACAGATTTCACACCTTTCAGTTGTATTGGGCAGTCTTCTGCTTTATGTCTGGAGCTTCCACATGACCAACATTTTCCAAATTTCAGGGAAAATTTTGCTTATTATGAGGAAAGTGAGAAGCAATACACTTTAGAGACAGGAGTTCCTTTTTCTAGTAATCAAGATGTTGTCCCCATTGTTGCTTCTCCACGAGGCATTGAAATACCATATGACATCTTGTTTAAAGTTAATTCATTAGTTCAGCATGGGTGTCTTGCTGGTCCTGCACTTGATAATAAGTTTTATCTTTTGGTTGATCCATGTAAGGTGGACCTTGCATGCATTGAACATGCTTTAGAAAAAATTTATTATTCAAAGGAATTCTGTTATGAACCCTCAAAGTGGTTGATTGATCAGTACACAAGGTACCTGACATCAAGGAATCCTCCTCGGTCACCTACGATATCCTTGGATACTGGGTTGGTATATGTTCGAAGGGCTCAGATCACACCTTGCAAAGTATACTTTTGCGGTCCAGAGATTAATGTCTCAAATCGAGTTCTTCGCGAGTTCCATAAAGACATTGATAATTTTCTACGTGTTTCATTTGTTGATGAGGAGTTGGAGAAAATGTATTCAACAGATTTATCTCCACGTACATCTGAGAACAGGAAAACTGAGATATACACAAGAGTGCTTTCTATCCTTAGAAATGGCATAGTTATTGGTGACAAGAAGTTTGAATTTCTAGCATTCTCATCAAGTCAGTTGAGGGAAAGTTCCCTTTGGATGTTTGCTCCTACAACAACTGGACGTACTGCTGCTTCCATTCGGAAATGGATGGGAGATTTTCGCAAGATTAGAAATGTGGCTAAATATGCTGCTAGGCTGGGACAATCTTTTGGTTCATCTACTGAAACTCTAAGTGTCCCCAGGGATGAAATTGAAATTATTCCTGATGTGGAGGTTACACATTATGGAAACCACTATGTCTTCTCTGATGGAATTGGGAAAATATCTCTTGATTTTGCCAAGAGAGTGGCTAAAAAATGTGGCCATGACTACCCTCCATCTACCTTTCAGATTCGATATGGCGGGTACAAAGGAGTTGTTGCTATTGATCCCACATCATCAGTAAAGCTATCATTGAGGAAGAGCATGCGCAAGTATGACTCAGATAACACAAAATTGGATGTTTTGGCATGGAGTAAATTTCAGCCTTGCTATCTGAATCGGCAGTTGATTACTCTCTTATCGACCCTTGGTGTCGCAGATTATGTTTTCGAGAAAAGACAAAAAGAAGCCGTTGATCAACTGAACACCATGTTAACAGATTCATTGAAGGCACAGGACGCCTTGGACTTAATGTCTGCTGGGGAGATAACTAATGTTTTAAAGGAGATGCTCAATTGTGGCTACAAGCCTAATGTTGAACCTTTTCTTTCAATGATGCTGCAAACATTTAGGGCTTCAAAACTGTTGGAATTGCGACTTAAAACTAGGATCTTTATTCCAAATGGGAGAGCAATGATGGGATGTCTAGATGAAACTAGAACTCTAGAATATGGCCAAGTATATGTTGGATTTTCTAACAACAGGGTCAGGGGTCTATCCAATGATTATATAATTACAGGTAAGGTGGTAGTGGCAAAAAACCCCTGCTTGCACCCAGGCGATGTGCGTGTTTTAAAGGCTGTAGATGTACCGGCTTTGCATCACATGGTGGATTGTGTTGTTTTCCCTCAAAAGGGGTTCAGGTAAATATATTTCTTAAATATTTCAAATTTTATGCATTGTCAACACTATTTTATAGGATCATATGTGATCTATCTTTTAAATATTGTATACAATAAAATATCCTAGTCTCTAAAATTTCTTTTGGGTGTGATTCTGAAATGAGAAGGATACAGATAATTAAGAGAAAGAAAAGATAGCCCAAGCTTTTGAGAGGCTTGCCTCCTCAAATCTTAACTCAAATTTTGCCTATTTGTACCCAACCTCCCCTTTTACATGAATCTCACTCTTCTTTAACAGGATCCGCTCACACTCCTCTCTCCCTGTTGCCATGTGTCTAGGCATTTACATGAAAATCCCCACGCATATTCCCTTCTACCTAACTCATTGCCTTTGCATTTATTTATCCTCACATAGACTGTAGTAATCGGAGGGTATCTATCTATGTGGATACATTCCTTTATTGTTTAATATGGATGGATTTGAAGATAACCACTGTTGATTGGAGGCTAATGATAACAAATTCTATTATGATTCTGGATGGGATGGGACTTGCCTTTGGCATGACTATTTCACTATGAGGTTTGTTATGTATTTCCAGCTTCACATATATTGAAAATCATTTTAATAAATATGATATGCTAAGTTGCTGCTATTTCTAACAAAAGATAAATCCATACTTTAAAATTTCTGGATTATTTTCTTCTTTTTCCTTGACAAGGTATCAATTCCATTTCTTCACGGAACATTGCTATTTTACAATAAATGGTGACTCCTTTTACTGCTTCATCTATAACTTCAAAGATTTGGTGTTTAAATATTCTTTTTATTTGTTAACAAACCTATCTATGTATTTTAATGTAAAAGATTGATTTCTTAGGTTTTCTTACATAATTGCTGCAAGAAGACCTTCTAAGGTTTACCTGCAAGGCATTTTATTTGTGTCATCTGATTTATCTTCTTTAAGGCTTCTAGGATGCTTATCTTTGTTTCTCTTAGCTATTTTACTTAATCAGATACGGTTTCAAATAACATCTTCACTAAATATACTTGGCAAAATTGTTTCCATCCTTAAATGTTTGTTCTGATTTCTGCATGTGGGCATCTACCTGACTTGTTTGCAACTCTTGTTTCCTGTGATGAAAACACATCTAGAAAATTAAGATTAGAACAGAAGTAGCTTATGTGGCTTTGAATATTTTCCAGTGTTTAGAATGTTATTATTTCAAGGACTTTTCTTGGAATATGAGATTTTGCTTTTTCCTTTTGTCTTGTGTTTTTGTAATTTCCTTTTAAACGGGTCTATTGACATTTGACACAAATAACTGATTTTCAATATCAGACCTCATCCAAATGAGTGCTCGGGAAGCGATCTGGACGGAGATATCTATTTTGTTTGTTGGGATCCTGAATTGATTCCATCTCGTCAAATTCAACCAATGGATTATACTGCCGCCCCAAGTATGGAATTGGATCATGATGTGATGATTGAGGTATAATTCTTAGAGCACGACATCACTAGGCAATCTTTCCATGCATTCTTTATATTAGTTTTGGTTTTAGAATTTCTTGTTACAATTATATATGATCTTTAAAGTTGTTTTGATATTCTAAAGTAGAACGGTAAGTCGGTAACTATGTGTACTTCTCTTTGGTGGGGAACTCCCCCAATTGATAAACCTATAGTACTCCTTGTGGGCTTGGTTTAATACACACTTTGAAGAAAACAAAATATCAATTATTAGCCAATGAGGGTTGGCGTAGCTGGTCAAACCTTCCGCTCATGCTAGTTGTGACTTGGGTTCGATTCTCAGCTTTTCCTCTTAAGTATGTGATTAGTAATCTCATATTAAATCCTCAATGAAGTTGGTGGTCTTGGCCTTGCATGGGGGCGTGCCTCCCCTACTCTAACTTTAATTTACCAAAAAAATAAATAAATAATATTTTGTTATTTATAATTCTTATCAAATGTTTACACCAACAATTTATTTATAGACTTAATGTAACCAAAAACCTTAATAAGAGAGTATAATAAAATTCCAGAACAAAAAAAAAAATCTCAAATTGAAAATCCTAATTTGAAAACTGAAACCTTAACTTATAATAATAAAACTAATAGGCCAATCTATATGGAGAAGAACACTTCTTCGGGGAGTCAAAAGATGGGTAATGGTCCAAAAGGGTAGAATGCAGTTGAAGTCGTCCTTTGTGATCCATGTATCACTCAAAGTAGGACAACCCAGGCCCAAGCTCAAGGGAGAGCATTGTAAATATTTGTAATTATTTGTATTTCATGGATTAGTGTTTCCTTATTATTACTTTAAGATTTCGGTTTATTCCCTTCGGCCCATATGGCCCATTAGTCTCTATATATAATGTAAATCTTTGTAAATGACAACTTGAGAAATAACAATATTTAGTTTTTTTTTTCCGTTTCAACTGTTATCATCAAAACATACAATATGATTGGATGCGAGGATAATAATCACAATGTGAAAAATGTCAATAATCCTGTCCCCACCCAAGAAATAGTTTGTAATTGTGAACCAACAATCTATCAAACAACACATGTATCCTTTTACGGCCAACGGATGAAATGAGAAGGTTTTAGATCAATACTAATGCCTCATCTTTGGCATGATAAGAATATATCTTATGTGAAAGCTTAGGAGTTAGGATCACAAATAGCAGCTTGAATGATGAAGATTTCATTTGGTCAGTGCTTGAATATTTAGCAGTACATTGTCATCTGGTTTGTTTATTTTGTTTTTTTAGTATTAAGCTTCATTTTAGCAATTTCTTAATCATCTTAGGCCATGATTGCAGCTCGGGTCTTATTTTTCCATTAAATTGATTCCAGTTACTTAGTAGCCTTATAAGTTATATCTAATTTGGCTAGATTTTTATTGGGTGTTTTAACACTGTAATTGTTGGTTCTCATGATGTATGAAGCCAAGCTCTGCTCTGCACCATATATAAGTTAATTATTTATTTGTATTAAGTTCTGCCTTGTAGAGATGGATTTTTTGCTTCCATTTTCCCCCCTAATTGTTAAACTAGTACCTTGTGATTTGTGTGCAATCTTAATCATTGCTTGAGAATTCTCTATCATCCAAAATTTACCATCTTCCACTATCAAATTTGCATGTCAAGTCTCTCGTGATCCCCACATCTTTATCTTTCACCATTTCCTTTACCATTGTCCTCTATTGAAATTTTAATTTTTTTTTTAAGGTGACATTGTCATTTCAAGTAACTTTTTTTTTTCGGTGAATTGTCATTTATAGTAACAACTCAAACCAACCTCAGTATATAGTATCAACTTTTTTTTCTTTTTTTGGGGCAACATGAAATCTAATATAAGCTTACGACATGCTTTCTTGGTGCAGGAGGTTGAGGAGTATTTTACCAATTACATAGTCAATGACAGTTTGGGAATAATTGCCAATGCACACACAGCATTTGCAGATAGAGAACCTTCAAAAGCAATGGCTGAACCATGTGTAGAGCTTGCAAAGCTATTTTCAACAGCAGTTGACTTTCCAAAAACTGGTGTCCCAGCTGTTATACCTCCTCGTCTTTATGTCAAAGAATATCCAGACTTCATGGAGAAACCTGACAAACCCACCTATGAATCACGTAATGTAATAGGTAAGCTTTTTAGGGAAGTGAAAGAAATTTCATCAAGTGCCAACTATATTACTTCCTTCACTCTTGAAGTGGCTAGAAAGTCATATGACCGGGACATGGAAGTTGATGGCTTTATGGATCATGTTGATGATGCTTTCTATCACAAAAGCAATTATGACTACAAATTGGGAAATCTGATGGATTACTATGGGATTAAAACTGAAGCTGAAATCCTTAGCGGGAATATTATGAAAATGTCAAAATCTTTCAACAAAAGAAGGGATGCTGAATCAATTAACATGGCTGTAAGGTCCCTAAGGAAAGAGGCGAGGGCATGGTTCAATGATAGCAAAGACTCAGAGAGTGATGATGCATATGCAAAAGCTTCTGCATGGTACTATGTTACTTATCACCCAAGTTACTATGATTGCTACAATGAAGGTATGAAAAGGGACCATTTTCTAAGTTTCCCATGGTGTGTTTACCATGTGCTTGTCCAAATCAAGAAGGAGAAAGCTAGCATTAGAAGGTCTTCCAACTTATCCTCCTTGGAACAAAGTTTCAGTCGAGGGTTGCTTTTGAATTGAGTACTCTAGACTTTACCCTCCCTGCTTTTTCAGCAGGAGTGCAGAAGCAGCTTCTGTCCATATTGATTGACTTTGCATGTACATTTTATAGTGATGTTATATAATATAGTAGAGTGGATATAGATGCTGTATCAACCATTTCCTTTGTATCGTTTGTAAATCTGACTTCGACGCTTCAGTGGTTTCCATTATGGTTTTTCTATGTAGTTGTATTTTCATTTTCTTTTTGAGAAATTAATGGATATTTGAAGGAATGGATTTTAATTTCATAACATGGTATGCTTGGAAAAGCAATGCGACTTATTTCATGAAGTTCCGGGTACAAAATTAAAGTGTCAAACCTCCAAGTTCCCAAAATGAATTAACTATCCCTGAAGAAAATGAATGTAATTAATCAGTAAGATATAACTGTCATAAAATATACATATAAACCAGGGAATGTATTCTCTCAATTCGATCATGTTCCTTTTATTTTACATGCGATAATTCTTCTCATTTAAGATGCCTTAAAAGGAAAAAACTATATATGAAAAGATTTTTTTTTTTTCCTTTTTGGGTTACATGAGAAATAGCACTTGGGTTAGAAAAATTAAAAAAATTTGGACTGGTGGAATTAGGAATTTAATACGCTTAGTATTTTACTTAGGAAGAAAAAAAAAAGAGAGTACCTAAGTAAGGTTCTTGGGTTAAAATTGGGGGATGTTACAAACTTGTGAACTCCAGGGTAATGATATTCATAAGAGATAGAAGTCGTATCCATTTGGACGTTTCTCTAAAAGAGAAAAGTAATAAAATATAACTCAGTTGGTAACATAAGCAATATAGATGAGAAAATTTGTGAGGATATTCTTAAAAGTCAACTCGTCTTAAAGAAATAATTAAAATTCGCATATATATATTTTGTTGAGGTACCCCCTACCAAACAATTATTAATTTTGGTGACGCTCATGAAAGGTGATTGCTTTTGGGTCAAGGCTAGTGAGTAATTTGTCAAGAAAATGATTAATTTTTTCACACAAACATGCATCATGAGTCTCTCTTATGTTTACAAGTTAATCTAATCTATCCATCATGAAAAACTGATCACAACAAGACTCATAAACCAAAACAATACCCGAAGTGATCTTAAATGAATTAAATTAATAAATGTTCTACAACATTTAATATTCAATTACTCTTCGTAAATATATCACTATATATAATGGTCCACATGTATAGTTTAAAAAATCTAACAAATATGCTGCGTAATATTCTAACCGATAATCACCGAATTTGATCTTTTCAGAATCTAGATTCTCAAGTCTGTTTCGTTGTTTTAAAACACTTATTATATTAATATAGCTACCTTCAAATTATAGAACAATATCAATCCCAGATAAACAACTCATAACCTATTATTTCTACACAACCTGGTAATGAAGTCAAAAAGCATAACATCCAATTGCACATTGTCCATGTGATCGACCAGCTGTGAATCATCCAAAAGAGAAATGGCACATCTGTTATGTACAAAAAATACCAGGCTAGGTTTTACTAAAATATTACAAAAATAAATAAATTATATTATATCAACAACTATCTCACTTAACAGCTCAAGCCAAAAAATGATGGATTTTCAATAATTGTGTTTCATATGTCTTTGATATATCACTCTCACGTAAAAGTTTGTTGGGCTTGAAGCATGGATATTGCGTAAAACAATTTTTTTTTTACCTTGTGGTAACTTAATTTCATTGGAATGTGAGAGACGGTGATAATCGAACTTGTGACCCCATAATTACCTTAACGTTAAGACCATGACAAGCAATCATCTAAAAAAATATTATATTTCCAAAAGAAAACATAATATTAGGATTCTACATTCTACCTAATTATGGGAAACAAAACAATGTATAATTCATAAAGTGAATAAATAAAGGGATTTTGTTTTCTTAGGTTTGCAGCAATACTATTCCTCCTTCCTACACATACATAGGATTTTGCACCAATTTTATTTTTATTTTTTTTTTAATTTTAAATGATGGCCCCCACTTATTAATGTCTCGGTAGAAAAGCATAGTTTCTCCCCAGATGAAAAGCCCATAAATAAATTAGTAAATTGATAACAATTCATCATACCCACAAGGTTTTTCTACTCCCATTATATAAACTATATTAAAATTAAATATAAATTATAATTTTTATTATAAATTTACTCGGAGTTAGAAAAACATGTAGCTAGGGAGTATAGGGTAAGATCCCCTTAATTAAATAAGGTTACCTTACCTACATATAAGATGGAATGGCCAATATGGCTTAAAAGCTCTGCGTTGCATGTGCTTTAACGTGAACCGTGCTAAACCCACAACTTACTATTTCAATGACGTGATACCTTCGTGGCTCCACAAGCTAGAACTAGGGGTGAAACTGGGCCGGGCCGGCCTACAGGGGTCTATGGCTCGATCTACATCAGATCAGACCTGAATTAGTATATTTTGTATAATAGGTCAGGCTTAGACCTTAAAAAAGCCTGTTTAATAAAAAGGCCGTAGGCCCACTTTCAAAAGGTCGGGTTTATAAGCTTACAGGCCGGCCTATATTGTACTATTTATTTTAAATAAAATAAAATAGAGTAAGTATGCCTTGAAGAAAAAACAAAAGATATAAATTTAATCAATTGCAATTATTTATAACTTAATTATATTCGATTATATTTTAATAGAAATCTTACTTTATTTCTTATATAGGAGGAACCAACATCTCAACATGTTAGATTGTGTATATAAATATATTAAAAGATTTTTGGGAGAGGTTATACTTACTACAAGCATCATGATGTGTTTGTTGCATTCATGTAGTTATTTTAATTTACATAGTATGGATTTGTTTGTTGGATTTGATGAAATATATGTTATTTAGTTTGAGCATTTTACTTTTGAAAATGACTTAAATGCATATTGTATGAGTTTTGTTATGATTCATGATTCTGTTTAGACGTTGAAATTATGGTTTTTGATGTAGAAATAGAATTTGAGTACTTTGTAAAGTTGATTCATGATTCTGCTTGGAAGTTAAAAATTAACAGGCTAACGGGCCAAACCAGGCTAACAGTTAGACTCATACTAGGCTTGGGCCAGGCCAATTTGAAATTTTTTGACGTAAGCTTGGGCTTTTCGGGGCAAAGCTTGACCCAACCCAGCCCACTTTCACCCCTAGCTAGAACGATGCGTGAAATTCGTAATTAGTGCTATTTTGTTTTTGTTTTTTTGTGATTAATTAACGCTGTACTTCCCCATTTAGTTTATATATATACCTATCAATATCATTCACCAAAAATATTTTTTAATCAATTAAAAATTCAAGATAAGGTAGTGTACAATCCGCGCTCATTCCTATCTTTAGGGCTCGTTTGGTGGACAGGATAGGATAAGAGTAGGATATGATATGGAGCTGATAAGAGTAAGATATGATATAGGGCTGACAAGCCTATATTATGTCCTGTGTTTGATGAGTACCTGATTAGCAATCTGATAAGATTATGTAGAAGGAGAAAGAAGAAAGAAAAAATAAAATATAATGCAATAAATACAAATATATTGGGTAGCGTGGGGATATATTAGGTATCCTATCCTGTTGAATCCTAACCCAGCTCCTCCCATAGGATAAGAAATCATGTATTGGATAGGATAAAATGAGACAATAGGATAAGCTAATCATATCCTATTGACCCACCAAACAAGAGATAAAAGTAAGATATGGTGATAAGTTATCCTATCATATCTTCTTTATCAGGTGCTCCAAACAGGCCCTTGGAAAGTTGAAAAATATTATGTACCGATATTTGTCCTTAATAATAGGTGATTTTTTTATTTATTATTTAAATTACATTAAAAAAGAAGAGTCTTCGAAATAGGAAGTTTAATCAATTAATTATTATTAAACTGTGTTTTGTCCTAAAGACATATATGTCTAGCCTAAAGAACTAGTAAGTTTATCTTGAATCTAGGTACCTGCTCTCTCAGATATCTATAAATTAGATACATTTAAGTATAGCAGATAACTGCGCACGAATAGTAATGAATTTTGCCAAGGGATGATGTGTGTGCACAATAACAATATAATAGTAAAGAGAGAGAATTAATTATACCTGTAGACTTTATTTCTTATTTATAGAGTTCACTTGGGAATATGAGAATTCTAGACCTTTTGTGCTTCTTCTAGAAGTCCAAACCCAAGTATTCTCCTTTGATTATGTTATATTATTATTTTTATTACCCCCTTATTGATCTATATATTAAACGAGTCTCGTATACGAGTCCATGACAAACTGCTTCCTTAACTGCAGCATCTCTATGTTTGTTTAAGCTGCTTCCTTAAATTAAACATCTATACGATTCTTTTTTTGGAAATATTCCAATCGGTTCATTGTTTCGCAACTCATCCGATTCGGGATGGGTCCAGGATTAAGGCTTTAAACTTCTCCCAAAAGTGGTACTGGAGATATTTGAACACATGCTCTCATCCCCACCTGCTTAGCTCTCATGTGCCAACTGAGCTACTACTATTTGGTAACATCTCTACGATTCTTTATTGTACAGTAAGTTGCTACTTCAAGAAGGCCAGCATCTCTACGTTTATATGTGATTTATTTTGATAAAATTTATTTTCGAAGTTTAGATTCGTAACAAGTACATTGTAATTTATTTTCATCACCGTTTCATTGGTGCAATTTTTCTTTTTAACTATCAAATCATATCATTAATTTCGACAATATTATAATTGACGGGTTAGACAGAACATTTAGATAAATAATTACACGAGTAATTTACACTAATAAGTAATAAAATATTCAACAATTAAATTATACAAAATAAAATTTAAATAATTATTAAAAAAATTCCTTATACTGAAACATATAGTAAAAGAATGTTAAAGTCGTACCCTTCCAAAAGCTTTTATACAATTTCTTATTATGGCCCGAATAAATCGAAGAATTGATGCCAATTTCGTATAATTAATTCACATAAGCAAAAGACGTTACATAACATAAGACAAATGAAATTTATGGTGATATGATTTGACTACTGATTAGAAGAAATTAAGAAGTAGACTTAATTAGCCCAAATTTTAGAAGATTAATTAACAGATATGACTAATTGCATATATTGTTGTCGTATAATAATTAATAAACTATATAGTAACGTTATCAGCTAATTATTTCTAAAAGTGCGAAAGATTTCCAAATTTTGAAAAACAAAGTGTTATGGATTCTCATGCTTTCTTTTTCTACAATTTAATGAGTCTCATAACTTTGGAGCTCATCCATATTAAATCTTTAGAGTTTTAGATCATGCAATAATGATAAGTCATTTTCTGTTAGGGTAAAAGCAAATAAGCTGAGTCCCTACTCTACAATACCTACCGCCAGATATAGGGTATCATATTATATTATATATATGTACGTAATCAAAATTGGGATATGCATGTGCTTCAATGTGAATAAACCAGAAAGAAAGAAATTTGCAGTTGCTGGTTTATCATCTTCACCCTCCCAAGATTGTTCTTTAATCTATATTAGATGCTTAATTTGTTAAGAACCAATTCAACCTAAAATCTTAAAGTGTTGGGTGAGGTCTTTTTAATGGTTTATATTATTATCTAACACACCAATAATATAAATCATTCAAAAGGCACTCACCCAACTCCTTAAGGTTTTGGTTTGAATTGGTTCTTTACATAGTATCAAAGTTTCAGTGACCATAAAATCACAAGTTCGATCTTCACCACTCTCACTTTCTAGTGGAATTAAAAATAAAAAGCACATAAGGTAAAAAAAAAAATTGGGCCTATATAATATCCATGTTTCAAGCCTAAAGGGCTCTTACGTGAAGGGGTGTGTTAGAGAATAATATAAACCATTAAAAAACCTTCCATCCAACATATTAAAATTTTGGGTTGAAGTGATTCTTCTCAAAATTGTAGTACAACCACCACCAAGTATGTAGATCAACTGGTAAAAGATTGTTCCATTTTTATAAGTGGTTTCGAATTTCTTAGTATGCATTGTGTTAAAAATTTGTTAATCGATGAGACGGTGCAGAAAATAAAGAAATAAAGAAATAAAAATTACAGTACAACCTACTTAAATGGTCCACACACTATGCTGTTTGATTCCCCATCCCCACACTGCTAAAGAAAAATAGGAAACCCAGTACTGAGGGAGAGAAAAAAAGCTCCATATGGTTCTAGCTAGCTGGTGCAGGAGGAATAGGTTTATGCAACATAAATTTATAGAGATAAGAATCTTCCGTACCCATATGTTGTTAATTTACAATAATATCATTTCAATGTATCATAAGCGTACGATTTAAGAATTTTAATTCCAGAAGCATGCTTCTTGGGTTAATGAACTTAATTCATCAAAAGAAGTATTTAAACCCTAAAAGTAGTTTAAGTCAATGCGAGTTATTTCATAAGGGTAGTTACTTTATTTTTATTTTTTTCTCGTTCAAATGTTATATAAATATTAAACCCTGAAAGTAGTTCAAGTAATGTGCATACTTTTTATGTTCAAAGGTATTGAGGATTTGAGGGCTAAGCATAAATGTCGGGAGTGGTAAAGTTGTTTTTTTATAATTGAAAATTTATACATTCGAATATGGGAAATAGCCACTTTGAAAATATGCGTAAAAGAATTACTTTAACCCTTATCATTGTTAGTCGGGACTTAACGAGAAGTGGTTTTTTTTTAAAGTATATGAAATGGATAGTTTTTTATTATTCCAAGGTTGAGGCATGCAACAAGCTTAAAGCAGTAATATGAAAGATTAAAGCAAAATATATGAGCAATGGCTAGCTGGAATCAGAATTCAAAATTCATAGACAGATGGTATAAAAAGTGGTTAATTCATCATTATAAGAAACACTAGGTACCAAGATAAACCCTAGACACAAGCTTGACTATTAGCACACAGTTTGGCTTCTTTTTTTTTCTTTCTTTTTTTTAATATTATACAAATGCATTCATTGGTGTTGGTGTGTGCCTTAAGGAGACAGATTTGTCACACCATTAACTAACAAGCAGAAAGGGATGTGTGTATCGATATCAATTAATAATGTAAATATGTTCGTACGGTTTCTTTGTCTTTGGAAAAGGACATTATTTCTTAGTGGTATCTTTTCAACGAATCTACATGCTGATTCTCTGAATCAAGTCCTTTATATGCATAATGGTTATTGGTTCTTTACTTGCTGGATGCGAACCTAATACACTTTAATTGAGTAATGAACAACTTGAACTTTAATTAACAAACTTGCTGTACTATATATATAGGAGAATTACTAAAGGACAAGGAAATGATACAACCCAAAACTCGAAAACATTAATTTAGTTTATATTTGGAAATTATGACAACAAAATGTGCTTTGATTGTTCTAGTAATGATGTAGAAGAACAAGCTACTTGAACCTTCCTAATAAAATTGGTTTGCGGAGCATGCATGAAGAACTATCACTATTCTTTCCTTGGCCTTGATTATAGTGCAAAACCAATGTTTTAAATTATGAGTTTGTGATTGTTAATTTGGGAAGAGAATGAATCCTCTCATATGATATGAGATCATACGAGACAATTTTAATTATCCATAGACAAATATACTGAGGTCATTAATTTGTTTACAAATGACTGAAATCATCGCACATAACCTTAATTATATCATATGAGAGGGTGCATTCTCATTTGGAATTATTAGAAAGATTGAAAATGCATCGTCACTAACCATAATTGCAAACTCGTGTTGTTGAACTAATCCAACCACACTATTGTGATTGCATTGGCAATGTAGAATTATAAGCAAACATTAATTTGAATTAGGGTACAATGCCAAAGTAATATAATTGAAGGTCACATTAATAATTTTTTATTTTTCTAATATATGGTTCTAATTTCTAAACTTCTAAGGATCTAATCTCTTGGATTGGGTTCATAGTTGCTTACCTACGAAGAGTATATATCCTACCAAGTTGTGTTGACTGTTGTAACTCAATTTTTTTATTTACCGAAAATATAAAGAATATCATATAATTTTTATAATTGTTCAAGAGATATGCACACATGATAGCTAGCCTTATCGTTAACAAGAAAAAAAATACATGTCCTCTATCTCATTATATCACCTTTTTTTTTGGTAGATCATTATATCACATTTTGTAGTGCACACTAATGATTTGACCAGGAATTTAATTGATTTATTGTGAATGTAAAAAAGTTTTATATATTGTATTTAATAATGAGTTAATCACATTATTTATTGGATTTAACAATGTAATAATACATTATCAAACCATAGGTAAAACTTTTTCGTAACAGTACATTAAAATTAAACTCTTTAACGAGATTTTTTTTTGATACATCGGAGGGAATTGAATACATAACTTAATACAAATTATTCAAATCCATCACCATTAGACCAAACCTAGTAGCTTTTTCCCGAGACACTTTAGTAACTAAGTATTAGTACCAATATTATGGCTTCATGTTTACTCTCATGATTTGTAGCCTTATTGCTTAATTAGGAGACATTCACGAAGCTCCTAAAAAACCTTGGAGCATGGATGCTACTTCACTTTGGCTTGTCATGTGAAAACCTGAACGTAACCAAGAGAAAAGTGAAATCATCTAGCAAAATCTTAATGTTCTTAAATACTCGAAGTCAAATGATTTTATTATTGAAAAACATCAAAAAGCAATCCATTCAACCAAAAACAAAGTACAAAGATCCTCCCATCTAGAGTCACACAGCAAAATACAAAAATTAAAGAAAATCCACCACATCTAAGTTAACAAAAGCATAATCAAACCATCACCCAAAAGAAAGAAAGAAAGATGAGGGAGCATTATTAAATATGAATCTCATTCACTCTTTACGCTTTAAAACAACAAAAAACTGAGTTTTGTCCCTATATTTTGTGTCCAGCAGTTCACTTTTGTCAGACAACAGTTTGATAAGACGTTGGAACATTTCATTTGTAACTTCATTTCCAAACTGTCTGGTGAAGATTCCCTCCATTGCAGCCCTTATATGAATTATAAATTCGGGTATTATGTGGCTGCAGGTGCCTTTTAACCATGGTGATGGGTCTGTAAGCTCCATTCGCTCAATGCTAAATTGCCCATTTGCTTCTATCACCTTTGTCATCTCCTCAGGACTTGGGGCATAGTATGGCAAATTGAAGTAATCAACTTGAGATTCATCAAACAGCCCCTATGAAAATTAATATATAAGAGTAGTTATTAACTGTGTTTATTAATATATCCAAGATATGTGACATTACCAAATTGGCTTCCTGCACTTACATCTTGGGGATGGATTTAGATAAATGGTTACTCTAGAAAAAAAAATGAAAACTATTCTGAGAGTCATAGATTTTTATTTCTTGATTACAGCTCCGTGATTAGTTATTAAGCATTTATTGGTCATAACAACAACAAAAAAAGGAAAAGAGCAAACCCTAACACATAAGACTTCTCGACTTTAATGGTTAGATGTGAAGGTGAAGGTTGATTGATGTAGTTTTATCTTATATTTTTAGAAAGAAATTGTTTTCTATACTCAAATATATAACCTTTCAATTACACAAAAGAGAAACCTTGTCACACTTTGAAAGTTAGCCTATAAATATTGTCAATGCAAACATTAAAAAAACAAAAAAATCACTCACAATTAAACCCTGACCAACAAGGATGAGATGAGGATATTTCTTATACACACGCAGCCTTGCTCTTACATATTTGTGCAAAGAGACTATTCTTTATATTCAAACTCATGACCATCCAAACACAAGGAAGCAACTTGCTCACTCTTTAAGGCTCACCCTCTTTTTATTGTTAATACGAACCTTAGAAAAAATAATAATGAGCTGCAGTGTAAGATACTGAATTACCTCTTTTGAAATCTCCATGAGGACTGATCCTATACAATCATACAACATACCATTTACGGTGTCAGAATGAGGCATACCATTAGGAACACCTTGCATGACAATGACCAGCATGCCACCAGGCACAAGTTCTGTAGCCCTAGCATCCAAGAAGTTCCCTACACCCTCAGAAAATTGATTAGCATAAGCATCAATTACTTCCTTGGAAGCACTTGTGTAGTGAATTCTTCCCTTGTTCATGTCTTGTAGCTTTTCTGGTGACTTTGAAAGAAAATGAAGTGCATAGATAGCATATGCAAAATGAATAGAAGATTTAGGAAACAAGCGATCATAGAAAGAACCAGGCACACCAGCTGAAAAGTATTGTTTATCTTGAGGCAAAGAGGAGAAGAGGGTGTTGAAATCGTTGGATGGTAGATCATTGAAGAACACATGGAACTCTGGCATTGCAGCATTTTGACATTGGCTTTGGTACTTCTTTTTAATAACTTCAAGAACGTCCTGTGCAGTCGTGAAGCTGTTTGGACCAGTGGCACATCCCAAATCTGCCACACGTATCATGTTTGAAGCAGAAGCAAGCTTTTTCACATCAAGATTCTTGTGGATTTCTTCTTCTATCTTGCTCTTTTCAACGCTTGAACTTAGTTTCTACAAAGAAATCTTGTTTAGAAAATAGAATGACTCACATTGACATTTGCTTTTCTAGCTCATAACTAATTTCTAGGTTACTTTGTTCCTAGTAATATGTATACATATGCATTGAAATTTGATGTTCCCTTTTCCTTTATCAAGCATGTTTGAAATTCTTAATTAATTATGTATTGTACCATGCTCTTTTAAGTTCAACCCTAAAAGGCAAAATACATAACATTGTCCAAATTATCTCAGCAATTTTCTTTTCTTGTTTTATTTTTTCTGAAATTGGTTAGTGAAAGGAACAATATATATACCTGAAAGTAGGAATTTTTGGAGTAGCTGTACGTGCCACGACCTCCATTTGGTGGTAATGCATTGATTACCAGTTTCGCTTTGTCTTCATCACAAATTTGTGGTGGCTGGTGATCCACATGAGAGTCCTCCATTTCATTCATCTATGGAAGAGATGGGTTAAGCTTGTATTATATAAAGGTCGGAGTAGTGGAAGCACCATCAAAGAAGCATGGATTAAATAATTGGTGATCATTAATTTATGTTAACTAAGTATATATAAATGCAATATGTGTTGCACATGACTGATACTAGCATTCAGATGACGATTTTTAAAAATTTATATTACATCTCTCTACTGCATCCCTTCATGCAAAAGTTCGTTGGATTTGAAATGTGAATATTATAGAAAACTATTTTTTTTCTTGTCCGAACTTAATTTCACTGGAATGTGGTTGACGGTAAAGATCAAACTTGTGATTCCATATTCACCTTAACTTTAGTACCATGATAAGCAACATCTAAAAAAATATTATATATTATTAATAAAAAGAATTATTATATTTCCAAAAGAAAACATTATATTAAGATTCTACATTATTCGAGCAACCTAATTGTGGGAAACAAAACAATGTCATAAAGTGAATAATTAAATCATAAATTGGTAACTACATCATACCCACAGGGTCTTTCTACTCCCATTTAATAAACTATATATTAAAACTAAATGTAAATTATAATTATTTTTAATTATAAATTTACTTGTATTTAGAAAACATGTAGCTAGGGAGTAGGGTAAGATCCCCTTAATTAAATAAGGTTACCTGAGCCCCACACTACTATTCTATACCTATATATAGGATGGAATGGCCTATATGGCTTAAAAGCTCTGAATTGCATGTGCTTTAACGTGAACCGTGCTAAACCCACAACTTTCTTGTGGCTTCCCAACTTTCTGAAGTGCTGTTTTGTTTTTTTGTGATTAAGTAAGGCTGTGCTTCCCCATTTAGTTAATATATATACCTATCATCAACCAAAAATATTTTTTTAATCAATTAAAAATTCAAGATAAGAAATATGGATATGTTATATTTACAAAAAAAAAAAAATTAAAAATTCTTATAAATTACATTATGTGCTATGGGTAATATATGCTCAAGTAATATCTGCTACCCATAATATATAGTGTAATTTGTAAATAAATTTTTTATAAATGTAACACTTCTCAAAGTAATATAAAGTCTGCGCTCTTTCCTACCTTTAGAAAGTTAAAAAATATTATGCACTAGATTTGTCCTTAATAATAGATTATTTTTCATTTATTATAAATTACATTTTAAAAAAAAGTGTCTTCGAAATAGGAAGTTTAATCAACTAATTATTATTAAACTGCTTCCTTAACTTCAGCATATATCTCTATGTTTGTTTAAGCTGCTTCCTTAAATTAAACATCTCTACGATTCTTTATTGTACAGTAAGTTGTTACTCCAAGAAGGCGGACCTAGAAATTGTTTTTTATGTCCGCACATTTAAAGGTGGGGCTGTCCCTGAATTTTTTTTGCAATCAATCCTCTCTTTTTATAAAAATGAAAAAGGAAACAAAGGATAAAAAGAGCATGGGAAATGAGTACGGAGGAAGAATAAGTTTTCTCTCTAATCAATTTGCGTTGCTACATTATTTTAATCTTCTCCGTACGTTACTACGTTACTAACTAATATAAAAATAAATACATTTTTTGGTCCCTAACAAAAAACTCGATTCACACTTTAGTCTATTATAAAAAAAAATTAGTCATCTGATGCATATGAAATTCAAAGTGGACTCATTTTCTTCTTTTTGATGGACTAATATAGGTCTTTTTTGAATTTATAAGGGACTACGATTTTAACTAAATTGATCCACTTTAAGATTTTTAGGGACCTCGAGACTATTTTTTTTTGTAAGAGACTAAAATGGGGGACCATGTTTTCTGTTAGAAACTTAAAAGAGTATTTACTCTTAATATATATATTGAACCAATAGACAAATAAGCACCAACAATCAAGAAAAAGAAAAAAAAAATTGAAAGTAAAATTTTTTATGACCGCACGTCCGCCACTGCAAGAAGGCCAGCATCTCTACGTTTATATGTGATTTATTTTCATAAAATTTATTTTCGAAGTTTAGATTCGTAACAAATACATTGTAATTTATTTTCATCACCATTTCATTGGTGCAATTTTTTTTTTCAACTATCAAATCATATAATTAATTTCGACAATATTGTAATTGACGGGTTAGACAGAACATTTAGATAAATAATTACATGAGTAAATTACACTAATAAGTAATAAAAATATTCAACAATTAAATTATATAAAATAAAATTTAAATAATTGTTAAAAGAATGTTAAAGTCGTACACTTCCCAAAAGCTTTTATAAAATTTCTTATGGCCCGGATAAATCGAAGAATTAATGCCAATTTCGTATTTCACATAAGCAAAGGATCTAACATCACATAAGAAAGAGGAAATTTATAGTGATATTTGACTACTGATTAGAAGAAAATAAGAAGTAGACTTAATTAGCCCAAATTTTAGAATATTAATTAACAGATATGACTAATTGCATATATTGTTGTCGTATAATAATTAATAAACTATATAGTAACGTTATCAGCTAATTATTTCTAAAAAGTGTGAAAGATTTCCAAATTTTGAAAAACAAAGTGTAATGGATTCTCATGCTTTCTCTTTCTACAATTTAATGTGTCTCATAACTTTGGAGCTCATCCATATTAAATCTTTAGAGTTTTAGATCATCCAATAATGATAACTCATTTTCTGTTAGGGTAAAAGAAAATAAGCAGAGTCCCTACTCTACAATACCTACCGACAGATATAGGGTATCGGATTGTATTATATATACGTACGCAATCAAAAGTGGGATATGCATGTGTTTCAATGTGAATAAACCAGAAACAACGAAATTTGCAGTTGCTGGTTTATAATCTTCACCCTCCCAAGATTGTTCTTTAATCTATATTAGATGCTTCAAGATTGCACTACAACCACCACCAAACACGTGAATCAACTGATAAGAGATTGTTTCAGTTTAATCAATAATTTCAAATTTCTTAGTACGCAGCTAGCTGTGTTAAAAACTTGTTATAATCGATGAGGTGGTGGAGAAAATAAAAAAGTAAAAAATAAAAAAATTACAGTACAACCTACTTAAATGGTCCACACACTACGCTGTTTGATTCCCCATCCCCACACTAAAGGAAAATAGGAAACCCACTGAGGGAGAAGAAAAAGCTCCATATGGTTCTAGCTGGTGCAGGAGAGGAATAGGTTTATGCAACATAAATTTATAGAGATAAGAATCTTCCGTACCCATATGTTGTTAATATACAATAATATCATTACAATGTCTCTTAAGCGTACGATTTAAGAATTTTAATTCCAAAAGCATGATTCTTCGGTTAATTAACTTAATTCATCAAAAGAAGTATTTAAACCCTAAAAGTAGTTTAAGTCAATGTGAGTTATTTCATAAGGGTAGTTACTTTATTTTTATTTTTTTCTCTTTCAAATGTTATATAAATATTAAACCCTGAAAGTAGTTCAAGTAATGTGCATATTTTTTATGTTCAAAGGTATATTGAGGATTTGAGGGCTAAGCATATGTGTAGGGAGTGGTAAAGCTGTTTTTTTTTATTATTGAAAATTTATAAATTCGATTATGGTAAATAGCCACTTTGAAAATATGCATTGAAGGATTACTCTAACTTTTATCCTTGTTTGTGGGAATTTAATGGGAAATGATTTTTTGTAAGCTATATGGAATGGATAGTTTTTTTTTATTCCAAGGTTGAGGCATGCAACAAGCTTAAAGCAGTAATATGAAAGATTAAAGCAAAATATATGAGCAATGGCTAGCTGGAAGCAGAATTCAAAATTCGTAGACAGATGGTATAAGAAGTGGTTAATTCATCATTATAAGAAACACTAGGTACCAAGATAAACCCTAGACACAAGCTAGACTATTAGCACACAGTTTGGCTTCTTAACATTATATAAATGTACCATATGGTAGTTCAGTTGGCGCGTGAGAATTGAGCAGGTGAAGGTGAAAACATGTGTTTGATCCTTCTTAGTATCATTTTTAGGAGGGGTTTAAAACCCTAATTCTGAACCCGCTCCAAACAGGATTGTACGTCTCCCGTAAAGGTTGTTTGTGATTTATCCAAAAAAAAAAAAAAAAAAAACATTATACAAATGCATTCATTGATGTTGGTGTGTGCCTTAAGGAGACATATTTGTCACACCATTAACTAACAAGCATAAAGGGGTGTGTGTATCGAAATCAATTAATAATGTAAATATGTTCGTACGGTTTCTCTGTCTTTGGAAAAAGGCATTATTTCTTAGTGGTCTCTTTTCAACGAATCCACATGCTGATTCTCCGAATCAAGTCCTTTATATGCATAATGGTTATTGGTTCTTTACTTGCTGGATGCGAACCTAATACACTTTAATTGAGTAATGAACAACTTGAACTTTAATTAACAAACGTGCTGAACTATATATTGGGGAATTACTAGAGGACAAGGAAATGATACAACCCAAAACTCGAAAACATTAATTTAGTTTATATTTGGAAATTATGACAACTGTTGAGATATATAGTCTCATATTGGTTGTATGTGCAACTAATGTGGCCTTTATAAGGCCTTGGGCACTCTCACCCTTTGAGCTAGCTATTGGGGTGGTGTATCCCAAGATTCTTTACATGGTATCAGAGCTTCGCTGCCCCCCACTTTCTCTTGTGGAGTTTCTTAGCACAGGTAGGCTGGGCCTGTTGCATCATCTGTTGAAATTTTTTAATTCCTCTAAACCTTTTGGTGATAACTATCACCTACAAGCCAAGCTCCATCATACCAAATCATAAAGAAATAAGAACATAAAGGTGGAGGCATACCTGTCTCCATTGCAGCGGAATAACTTTGATCTTGTCTCTTGGGGTTTGTAGTCTTCCTCAGTCAAATCACCCTAAAACCTTATTCCTTAGTGTGCCATCTCTCTCTTGATCGGGAAGAGAAACTAGGGTTGTTATTTGACGTCTTGGGGACCATAACTCTTATAGTGTTTTTATCTTTATTATTGGGCCAA